TTTTTTTTTTTTTTTTTTTTTTTTTTTTCCCGTCTGTGAAAATGAAGCTGGCATCTCAAAGTGTAGCTCTTCTCACTTTTCTTTCTTGTGTACGTGATTTTTTTACTTTTTTTTTTTTTTCCCCAGTTATTCCATGGACCGATGCGGGTGTTCTGATGTTTATTTCTTCACTGAAATTTCCAGTTTGGTGTTGCCTTTTTGCAGTTCATATACAGACGTTGGCTTACCATGCGCTGTATCTGAAGATGGCAACATTAAGCATCAGTTGCCCCCAACCTTTTATTCCTTGATATATTTTCTCCTGTGGTTGTTGTACTAATTTTATGGTTGTGGGAGGGAAGATCAAAGCACAAGACTAAGGAGGCTTTGTTTAAGAGCAAGGTGCTTAAAATGAGCAACTGTGGCTTAGTTCTTGATCTCTGGCTTAATGCTCCTTTTCCTGCTTTACATTGTGTTGTCGGCTGTTGCTGTTGCATCTGGTTGATGGAGACCAATTCAAATTTAGTATTAATAGTTGTAGAACTGTGAGCTTAGTTCCTCTGAACAATTCTGGCTTGCAAGTAGAGCTGCTTGTTATTAACAAAGAATTTATGTATTTCAGCATGAGCTAACCTGAAGAATTTTTTTTTTTAACGCTGTTTAAATACTCACGTAATATTTAACATATACATTAAAACACAGAGAATACAGAAAATATAGCTGTATAGTGTAAAGAGGGGAGACGCGTTAGGAGAGTGAACAGGCTCACAACATTCAATATGTCTCAATAGCCTTATGAAAATGAGGTGTAAACAGAACAGGGTGTCAGCCAAAAGGGTGAGATTTAGGTTGAGAAGGTGCTGAGCGGGATGGTAAAGTCCTCCTTTACTTGAAGCATTTTCAGTGAAGCTGGTGAGGAGAGCTTCAAGGCTACTTGGTGGTCAACTCCGTTGTCATTTGTCTTTCTAAAGCCCGTGCCCCTCTGTGCAGGGAGGTAGAAAGATTTGAGAGACAGCTGGCAAAGCATGAAAGAGGTAGGGGTGCGGCATGTTTTCAGAAACTGGGGTTTCTGAAAAGCTCTTGCTTTTGTTCGATGTAACATCTCCATGTAATTTGAAAGTTAGAGTAGACTGATGTCTTCTAAACTCTGAATAGGTCAGTCCCAACTCCCAAAATGTTTTGTGGCTCACTGCCGATTATTGCCAAACTTCTAATTGAAAATAGGTTATGTGGTTTGGTGGCTAGCTACAAATCCATGTAATTATGGAGTGTTCTGTCATGTTTTCAACAGCTGGACAGTTCCCTGAACGCCAGCTGTGACTGAAGAGCCTTTTTTAAAAAAATCTTGTGTGTTCTATGAATTCTTATGCAGGGAGTTATCTTTCATATTGGTATTTGCTGGAAAAAAATGTTTTGAGGTTCAAGAGCGTGTTAGGCATATGTGGAGTATCACCATGTTAAAATGTCCAAGCATCAGCCTTGCTCCAAAAACTTGAGTTACTAGGCTTGTGAAATCAGCGCATTGAACTATTCTGACAAACCTATTGAAAGAACAAAACAAAACAAAAAAACCCCAAAACCCCAAACCCAACCAACCAACCAAAAAACCCCAAAACAACCCAATCCCAAAAAAACCCCAACCCCAAATTTAAAGTATGAGTTGAAACTTCTGAATTGAGAGATTTGTGTGAAAAACCAATGTTTTAAAAGAAAGAGATGCTCTGGTCCATAGCTGTGTTGCTACAACTATTGTAATAACTCAAACTATACTGTCATAAAAGTACACATTCTCTTTCGTCAATTTAATGATTCAGCGATTGTAATTTTTCCCTCCATGTTTGACAGGTAGAAAGGCCTTTTTACATAGTAATTCGGAGAAGTACCTGTTTTCTGTACTAATGTTCAGATAAGGAACCTGCAGTCATGTCCAGCTATTTTAGATCCTCTAAACTCACAGGTATATATGTTCATAGAACCATAGAATATCTCAAGTTGAAAGGGACCCATAAGGATCATTGAGTCCATGTATTGATAGATACATAGTGCAAGTTAGTTATTAAGTCACTGAACATAGAGTGTTTGTCTACTATGGGATGTAAATTGCCCGAGCGCTTCATTTTAGGAAAGGGCTAGCTATCTGAAAAGAGGGCTTAATTGCTTAATACAGATACTGTTGCATTTGTGACAGAGGGACCAAGTACACTGGTAAGCAACTAAAACGGTGGAAGAGAAGTGATGACTTTAGGGATTCTACATGTTTTGCTTGCATTATTACTTTTTAGATTACTCTTTCACTATGGTATAAGTAACAAATGAGATCAGGGATTTCTGGTGTCAGGTGTTGCAGAGAAGAATATCAACAAATGCATCGACTGTAGAAAGGATTAAGTGGCAAAGAGTTACCCTTAAAATCAAACAAAAGCATCATCTTTGACAGCTTTTCTTTTCTGGAGCAGGTGTGCCTTTACATTTATACAAACTTATTCTAGGAAGGGGAAGACTAATTTTCCACTGGGAAGTTTTCCTACTTCTTTTAATGTGGATTTTCTGATGCAAAATCTCTAAATTGTGGTAACTAACATTAAATATGTCATGTAAGCTGTAATATCGCATGCCTGTCCTTTTGAGTTTTGTAAGTAGTTGTAACGGTTACCTGTATTAGAAAAGGTAGTTTTTGCTGCTGTGTATACACAGTGCAGAAGTACTCACTGGTGGTTACCAGACAGCGTAAGACATCTCTCTTTATATTTTACAAATCTCTGAAAAAACTTTCTAAGAAGTCACAAGTGCCCATGAAATCAGATCTCTTTTCCTTTGGGGTTGTTCAGTGCTGACGTGGCTTCACCACTTGGGGTCCCTTTCAGAAAGGGTCCTGTCACGAAAGCAATGATTGCTTGTTATCGGAACAGCGATAAGGCTCCCATGAGTTCTTTTTGCAATGTAAGAATGTGAGGCCTACATATGTAGTTGAATGTAATACTGTTCCTGGGGTTTAGTGATTCCAAATAATGGCTTTCATAACTACTTTGAATTGAAGTAAGTTTGTTTCTGACAAAGCAATGATGACACAAGGATGACTTTCATGAATGTTCTTCAAAGGTCTTGCAGCTCCGTATCGGTGAAGTACGCAGAGGATACTAGTCATGGACATTTACAAATGCTTTGGGTGTAGTTTAGATGTTATGCTGTTAAACCTAAGATTCTTACAGCTTCCAACATTTTTCAGATCCAATGGCTGTCCCACCATCATACAATGACTTGGGAAAGTGTG